GGATTCACTTCTCCGCACGTCCTACCTTCCAGAATGTGGTCGCTTTTCTGATGAGAGAGTTGTTGCTCTTCTTTTCTTCAATCTCCTGTTGAGTTCGTAGGTGTTCAGAATGGTTTGATCCCTATCCAATTGAATTCCTGGGACCAGAGGAAATCCAGGTCTCCTACTCCTCCGCCATCTTGCTCCTCCCCCCTCAACATTTAGATTTTTAAGGCAGAACTATTTCCACCTTTGAAACTTTAAACATCTTATTTCCTTGTCCTTTTCCTACACTGAACTCTAGATGCTCTTTTTTCTGCTCTGTTTTTCCATGCCATTTATCACCTTCTAACACATTATGTCACTTTCTTACTATGTTTGTCTGCTTCTCCCTATTAGAATGTAACTCCTTGAAGACTGGGATTTTTGCCCCTTTAGGCCACGGATGTGTCCCCAGGATCTAGAATCCTGCCTAATATATAATAGGCACTCAATAAGTATTGATTGGATAAATAAGTGTCCTAAAGAAAGTTCAATTATATGTCCTTGCCTAACAAGAAGGAAGGAAGTGACACATTAAGTAGCACAGGCAGTTCCTTTAGCTATTTTACATAGTAAACCATTCTTCACAGACAAGGGAAGAATTTGCTCTATAATTCCATTAAAGAAAATAGTAGTGTACAACTGTGTTGGTTTTTATAATGATTTCTTTTCGTATTAGTTATTTATTGCTGCATAACAAATTACCCCAAACTTAGCAGCTTAAAACAAAACACACATGAGAGTCAGAAATCCAGGAGGATCTCTCATTGCTAGGCTCAGTCAAGATATTGGGGGTGGAGGGGGGTCACTGCAGGACCCACCTCCAAAAAGACTCTCATCGATGTTACCTGGAAGGTTCAGTTCTTGGCCCTGTGGGCCTCCCCACTGTCCTACTAAGAACATGGGTGCATGCTTCCCTGAGAGAGAACAGTTGTGGAAAGAGCTTACCACCAAAACAGAGGCCACATGTCTTTGATGATCTGATCTCAGCAGTCATGTATCACTTATGTCATGTTCTTTTGGTCACAAAGATCAACTCTGGAATCCTGTGGGAGGGAAACTGTACAAGGGAACATCGGGGCCATTGTTAGAGGCTACCAACTACCACAATAATTTTGTACAGAATTTGAAAGTTTTTTCCTTCCCTTCCCCCCACTTAGGTATATATTTGCCTTGATTCTGTAGAAAGTTGTAATCTGTTTAACCAGCATAGTGATACAGATGACAGTGGAATCAGCTGGGAATCTGAGTCTGAGAGCCTTAATGAAGCACTACGGAGGTTTAATAAGAATGTGGAGACATTTCCTCTTCTGACGGATTTTAGAACAGGTATACTAAATTTTCTGAGTAAAATGGAATTAATAAACTGTTGTTTTAAGGGCTTTTGAGGTTCAGCTATTTCTAACATTAACTGATATATTTTTTAAATTTTTTACTTAAATTCAATTTAATTAACACATAATGTATTATTAGTTTCAGAGATAGAATTTAGTGATTCATCAGTTGCATCTAACACCCAGTGCTCATTACATCAAGTGCCCTCCTTAATGTCCATACCCCATCCCCCCACCTGCCTCCCTTCCAGCAATCCTCAGTTTATTTCCTAGAGTTATGAGTTTCCTTATGGTTTGTCTCCCTCTATTTTCATCTTACTTTATTTTTCCTTCCCTTCCCCTATGTTCATCTGTTTTGTTTCTTAAATTCCACATATGAGTGAAATCATATGATATTTTTATATACTTTATATGCATGATCTCTTTGATTCCTCAAGACACTCAATAGATAATCTTTCTCATTTTCTAGATGAGTGAAGTAAGAGAAGGGAAGTAACTGCCTTGGGTCACTTCCATTTTCTGAAACTCAGGGTGCATTGGAAAATTGCATAAAGATGATTTTTCTAAGCTTGAGGTTTTGCTATTAGCTCAAATTGTTAGAGTTGTCATTCAGACCTGAATGGCAGTAATTTTAATTACAAACCACCTACACTGATAATTTTGAAGTAGGGCAGGGGAGCTCAGATTTTGTCCTATCAAGATAGGTCAAGTCATGCTTTTTTTCTTCTAATCCATTCCTACCCATATTTAGTAAATATATGTGATTCTTCTATGAAGAAAATGCATCTCTTTACTGGTGTTGACAGTTTCTGAAAAGCATGAATGGTGTCTATACATTTTTATTAATATGTGATATATAGAGGTATATTTTTATTCATAGCATTTTGTACATATCAGAGGATATGCTAAAGCAAAGGAAAGCATCAGCCTAAAGTCTTACCTGATTTTACTCAATGAGATTGTAATCACTTATGGCTCATGTTTGGCTGATAAACAGCACTTGCTATTTCCTCTGCTTGGAATGTTCTTCCCCCGAACTGTATAGCAATTTAGATCTCTGCTCAACTGTCCCCATTTTGCAGGTCTTCCCTGTCCTCCCCATATAAAGTATAAAGCCTGCCACTCTCCCCTACCCCATTTTTCTCCATGCCTTCTATTCCTTTTTTAATAGCACTGTGAGCAGGGACTCTTTGTACTGCTGTGTCACCAGCAGTTAGAAGGGCACCTTGCACAAGTTAGGTGCTCATAAACATTTGCTGAATGAGTGAAAGAATAAATTCATGATTTTTTCTTTTTATAAACTCAGATTTATAGTCTGGAAGAAGCAGTTCCTTCCTCATTGTCTTCTTGTCTCAAGGGAAGTCACAGAAACATTCTGTGCATAATGTGATCATTCATGGAGCTATATATAGCTCCATTTTCTGTGGGCACTTTATTTTTTCTGTGGGTATTTTATTTTTTATTCTAAAATAAAAAAAATTTTTAAGTATGCATATGTACAAGTTGATTCATAGGCAAATGCCTATTAAAAAGTTTTGCAGGTTAAAATAATATGGCAACTAGATTGGTTGGGTTTTTTGGTTTTTGGTTTTTTTAGTTCTATTTTGAGATGAACCTTTAGCCATGTTTTTAAGGCTGGAAATAGTAAAAGTTGAGACCATTAACAGTGATTCAGTCAATTGCTTACTGTGCAGACAGCTCTATTAGAGGAGATTCTTTACTGTTCTATTGATAATCTTTTCTATAAACACAAGAAATTGTTTAAAACTCTTTAATAAAAATCTTTGTACATTAAAGTCATATAGTATTTAAATATCACTTGCCCACAAGTGGAGATTATGTAGAAAAGAATATGATAACATAAAGAGAGGGATGGAAGTAGGGCAAGACAAGGGCCTGAAGTGTGTTCCATCTACTCTGAAATCTGAAGGTGTATGAAGAAAAGGGAAGTACATACTATACTAATTTTTCCACAATTTTACTCAAGCCTAGCATTCATTTATTAGCAGATTTTCTATCAAGCAATTGCTTGTACCAGGTACCATAGTAGGAATATAAATACAGTTCTGCACATAAGAACTAGTGGGCTAGCTGAGAGGGGACATGAAAACCAAGTTCAGTATGAAAATAACAGCTCATATCAAAGGTGTATGCACAGTACCGTTGGATCACAGAGAAACCAATGACTAGAAGTACTCAGAGCTTTATAAAAATCATGTTGGAGCTGATCTTTGAAAGAGATGTTTATCAGAAAAAGGGCATGGGTGAACATTCTAATTATGGAGAATAGCCATGAACTAAAGTAGAGGCTCAGGTAATTCTAGTTAGGTAACACTTGAGAATATATGATAGGAGTTGGTTGGGAGTAGAATGGGAACAACCCTATAACTGCAGTGCTAAGGACTTGATATTGTAGATGGTTATAATGCCATTGAAGAATTTTAAACAAGGGCAATTGAATTTTTAAAATTTAATTCTGGTGGTTTTATAGAGAATGGATTGGAGGAGCACAAAATTGAAATGAATAGCAGAAACCATTTTATTATCTTTTGCAGAAGATGATGGCTTAAATGAAATGAAATTTCGCGAGTCTAACAAGTGGGGATATTAGAAGGATAGTCTAAGCCATGGGCAGAACTAGGAACTATGAGAATGGGAGAAGTGCCTTTCTTCAGAGCTTAATTCTTAGGAATTAGGAAAAACAAGCTATATAAATTATAAACAGAAAAAAGCAGAATCTAACATATGACAGACTGTTGAGTGTTTAAATATGAATGATGGGTTTATGGTGATTACATTTTCTTTGTACTTTCCTGTATTTAAAAAAATTGTTTTTTAAAGAAAATACAAGGCAATGTGATTTTTTACTTTTTCTGTCTTTCCAGAAATGCCTTGCCTTGCAGAATATGATGATGGCTTATGGTATAGAGCAAAGATTGTGTCTGTTAAAGAATTTAATCCTCTAGCTGTCCTGGTACAATTTGTTGATTACGGATCAACTGAAAAGCTGACAATAAACAGGTTGATTGTTTTTTTTAAGTCAACTTAGTTGAATTAGAATTCTTAGAGGTTTTTTAAATAATAATTATTGGAAAATTTTTGGTTTTTCTTTTAAAAGAAAAACCTTTAAAGCTATTAGGATTTTTTTAAAAATCTGTAAGTCTTTTATTGTAAAATATAGAATTTACCATTTTAGCCATTTTTAAGTATACATTTAATTGTCATTAAGTATATTCAGGATGTTGTGCAGCTATTGCCACTGTCCATTTTCAGGATGTTTTCCTAATCCCAAACAGAAATTCTGTACCCACTAAGCATTAACATTCCATTCCCTTTTCCTCACCTCCTGGTAACCATTTTTTACTTTCTGTCTTGAATTTGTCCTATTTTAGGTACCTTATATACATAGTGTCATACAGTATTTGTCCTTTTGTGTCTGGTTTATTTTACTTAGGATAAAGTTTTCAGGGTACACTCAATTATAGCATGTATCAGAATTTCATTATTTTTATGACTAAATAACACTCCTTTGTATCCTTTGGCTATCATGAATAATGCTGCTATGAATATTAATGTACAAGTAGCTGTTTGAGTCCCTGGTTTCAATTGTTTGGTATGTATACCTAGAAGTAGAATTGCTGAATTATATGGTAATTTTGTTAAACTCTCTGAAGAACTGCCAAACTTTTTTGCAGTGTCTGTACCATTTTACATTCCCATCAGCAATACACAAGGGTTCCAGTTTCTGCACATCCTTGCCAACACTTGTTATTTTCCATTTTTTTGTTTGTAATATTTAATTGTGGTATCATAAAATTTACCATCTTAATCATTTTAAATGTAGAGTTTAGTGTTAACTATACTCACATTGTTATATAGCCAACCTCCAGAACTCTTTTCATTTTGTAAAACTGAAACTCTGTACCCTTTAAACAGCATTCCCCATTCATTTCCCCCTCATCCAGCCCCTGGCAACCACCATTCTACTTTCTTTCCCTATGATTTTGATTATTATAGGTATCCCATATAAGTGGAATCATACAGTATTTGACCTTTTGTAACTGGCTTATTTCACTTAGCATAGTTTCCTTAAGGTTCACCATGTAGCATGTGTCAGAATTCCCTTCATTTTTAAGGCTGAATAATATTCCATCATATGTATACACTACCTTTTATTTATCCATTCATCCATGGATAAATGGATATTTGGATATTTGGGTTGATTCCACCTTTTAGCTATTGTGAATTGCTGGTATGAACATGAGTGTACATACCTCTTCGAGACCCTGCTTTCAGTTCTTTGGGGGTATATACTGAGAAGTGGAATTGCTGGATCACATACTCATTCTATTTTTAGTATTTGAAGAAACCAGCAAACTGTTTTCCATTGCAGCTGTACCATTGTACACTAAGTGTCCAAGAGTTCCAGTCTCTCTCCACATCCTCACCAACACTTGGTATTTTCTGGTGTTTTGATAGTAGTCACCTTAATGGATGTGAGGTTGTATCTCACTGTGGCTTTGATTTGCATTTCCCTGATGATTAATGATATTGAGCACCTTTTCATGTGGTTGTTGGCCATTTATGTATCTTCCTTGGAGAAATGTCTACTTTTTAGTATGTATTTTCTCTCATTCTGTAAGTTGCTTTTTCACTGTTGATCGTCCTTTGCAGAGTTTTCCATTTTGATGTGGTCCAATTTATTTTTTTCTTCTGTTGTTTGTGCTTTGATATCACAGCTAATTCATTGCCAAATCCAATGTCTGAAGTTTTTTCTCTATGTTTTACAGCTTTAGCTGTTAGAGAATTTTAATTGTGACATTCTGAACATTTTAAGAATTTCTTTTGTGACAGACTGCGTCAAATTCCTCTTCACCTTATGCGGTATCCAGCCCAAGCCATAAAGGTTCTCTTGGCAGGGTTTAAACCTCCCTTAAGAGATCCAGGAAAGACAAGAATACCATATTGTCCCAAATGGAGCATGGAAGCATTGTGGGCTATGATAGACTGTCTTCAAGGAAAACAACTTTATGCTTCTTCCATGGTAACTATCTATCTTAATTAGCCAAAATCTTATTGAGGCTATTTGTAGGGTCCCTGATTCACTTTCCAAAGTGCTTTCTATTTATGCAACTCTAGATGGAAAAAAAAAAAAAAAGCTTTAAAGCATATAAATCTGTAAATACAAGATTAATTTTAAGGCTTGTTAAAATTATGCTTTAAATTTATATTTAGCAAGTTTTTTTTAGCCCTACAATGATATAAAATATCACTGATGTCATGAATAAGATGAAAATGAGGGCGCCTGGGTGGCTCAGATGGTTAAGCGTCTGCCTTCGGCTCAGGTCATGATCCCAGGGTCCTGAGATCGAGTCCCGCATCGGGCTCCCTGCTCCACGGGAAGCCTGCTTCTCCCTCTGCCTCTCTCTCTCTCTCTCTGTCTCTCATGAATAAATAAATAAAATCTTTAAAAAAAAAAAAGATGAAAATGATCAAGATGTAATCTGTAATCAAAGAACTCATAAATCAGTGAGGGAAATGAAACATTTGTAAACCATTAATAAATTTGAGGTAGAATATGTTCTATAAAAGAAGTATGGGTACAAGAAGGACTATTTCCATCTGGAGAGATCAGGATATGGTATAGTATTTGAGCTCCTCCTTAGTAGGCAGTCAAATGGTAAGTGAATAGGTAGGTCTGGGATGTGACATTGAACTGCATCCTAAAAGTAGGAAAGGCCAGAATGGGAATTCTGGTCAAAGCCATGGAAAGGATTGAATTGTAAGAATTTTGAATTGTTTAATGCAGTAGAACCTGTATCAAAAGGTTCAAATAAACACATACAGCATTCACATTCCACACATAGCACACACAGAAATATACAACACACACTACACTTATAGAATATAACACGCAAAATATATGGCAGACACCCATAAACCACATACCACACATACAACACATACCATATACCACACAAAACACACACGTAACACACACACATATCGAAAACCTTTCACACACACTACACATATACCACGAACACACCACACGCACCATAAAAACTACACCCAGAGCACACACATACCACACACAGTAGACACATTGCGCACTCTAAACACACAAAACAAACAAGAATTATACAAACGAAATACAAGACACACAAACACCATATAGCACACACACCATACGTACCCCACACAACCACAGAAATACCATTCACATACCACATATTCAACCACAGACACCACACATAACTAACACATGAACAACTCAAAAATACACACCACCAAAAAACACCACACATACAGCACTCACACCCTGCACATAATAAACATACAATACACAGTACACATACAGAACATACAAAATATATTGCAGCCAAAACACCCAAATACCATATACTCACCATTCAACACACACCAAACATACAACATACACACATCACTCAAAAAACATTCAGACCTCACACACACACACGTACATCACATTGCTACTACAAACTGTGCACACAACACATATTCATCATATATCACATCACCCAATACTTGTACACCCCACATATACCACACACAAAACAGATACCACACATTCGCCACATATAACCTGACACACAGTACACACATACCATGCACACACACATACTGCACACGTTTTACACACACCACACACCACATAAAAACCACACTCAGGGTGTGCATACAGCACACAACACATATCACACACGCTTGAAATATACAACACACACTAAACATTTAGCACATATATACCACACATACACCACAAAAACACCACACACATATAAAAATAGACAATGCACACTACAGAAATTTCATTCACACACCACATATATACCATATAGGCACCACACATAACCAACACAACACAAACACACAACACTGGAACACACATACCACTCACAACAGACCAGCATACACTACAAAGGCAGATAGCACACACACAAACACACAAAACACATGTGAAACATACACACACCAAACACGTACTGTGCACACATGAAACCAATACACCATTTACACCACACACACCATACGTATACCACACAAACACGTTAGAAACATCATGCATACCACTCATACACTACCTACAACACTTGCACTGCACAATTATATGCCACATATATACACACACGTTTGACACACCACACATGTATCTCACCCATACACATAATGCACATACACTAAACACACACAAACACATATACCCCAAATACACCATGCACCAGTCAAAACCACACTGACACTGCTCATATACCACAGGCACTACATACAGACAGCACACAAACATCATTCTCTCCACACAGCACAAACTACACATAACACAAACCACACACACCACCACAGAAAAACTACACACCAAAATATACCACACACACTACAGAAATATCCTTCACACACCACAAATACACCACACATATACCTCACAAACCTACACCACCAAAACAACACACACATCACACATATACCACTCAACACCACACATAACACACAGAAAAAGACAAAATGCGTAACACATATAGAATACACACACAGAGCGCCTGGGTGTCTCAGTTAAATGCCCAACTTGTGATTTTGGCACAGGCCGTGGGATCAAGCCCTGTGTGGGGCTCTGCACTCAGCAGGGAGTCTACTTGAGATTCTCTCTCCCTCTCCCCCTCCCCCTGCTCACGCACACATGCTCTCCCCCCCTCATAGATAAATCATTAAAAAAAATATAACACATACTGCACACACATACCCACATACCACATACACACTACATACAACACACACACCAAACATACCAGACACACCACACAATCAACAGCACACACACACACCTATATCACACATATAACACATTTATTTAAAAAAAAAAATGTTCAAATGAGAAAGTTCAGATCGTGTTTAATATAAATATGCTTTCTTTAGAGGTTTAGCATGTCACAAAGGGGTAGCCCATAGGCAGAATCTGGCCTGAACCTGTTTTAAAATTGGAAAAATTTACCCCCAAAAAGTCTGTATTTGACTTCTGATTAAGTATTTTTTTTTTTAAGATTTTACTGATTTGACAGAGAGAGACACAGCGAGTGAGGGAACACAAGCAGGGGGAGTGGGAGAGAGAGAAGCAGGCTTCCCGCGGAGCAGGGAGCCCAATGCAGGGCTCGATCCCAGGACCCTGGGATCATGACCTGAGCTGAAGGCAGACGCTTAACGACTGAGCCACCCAGCGCCCCTTGACTTCTGATTAAATATTTTAAATTCCAGGAATCCTAGGTCTCTTTTCCAAAATGGCAGTCAGCCAAAGTGGTATATCAACTCCTTTGAATGGAAATATACTCTAATTCACCCTAGTCCTCAGCACTGTTGTTTCAGCCCAACCTACCCTGATTTTGGGATCCAGGATTTGGGGATTCCTGATGTACTGGCTCTGACAAGAATGAGTGCTTAATGAAACAGTGCTGTTACTAGAAAGTGCTTTTTGAAAACCTCTGTACATATGCTTTTGTGTGTGCAGAGTAGTGTAAATAGCTTATGTACAGATTCTCTCAAGCCAGTGAAAATACAGACAGGGCTAGTAAGTATTCTTACAGACATTATTTATTCATCTCTATGAATAACATTCAAAATTTGGTCAGTTTATGTGTAAAAGTATAATGCCTTATAGGTAGAATATAAATGAATTTTAACAGGGATGGTAGTATTAAAGCCATTGGCTTAATCTAGGAAAACTTTGGGTTGAAGTTATTTTAAATATAAGATTGGAAAGAATGGGATTTAATAGGAAACCATCACAAAGATCTTTTTAAAATACAAATTATTCATAAATTTGGAGAATGCATTTTCCTTCCTATGTGATATAGGCCAGATATAGGAGGGAGAAACCAGCAAAGACATTACTGTATTTCTTGACAACTATCTTTTAATTTTAGGCTCAGGCACCAGAACAAATAGTGACATTATATGAAGATGAACAGTATCCAGTTCATATGTCATTAGTAGAAATGGGGCTGGCAGACCGAGACGAATGATGTTAAGTATCATGACTTCTTGTTCTCCCTTATAATCAGCATAAGGCATGTGACTGATACAGTGGAGATTAATGCTAAATTGCCCATAAAACACCTTCAGACTTTCCTTGATTTCTCAAAGAATGACAACAAAGCTCAACAAGAATCTCTCTTCTAGACTTCGTAGGCCCTTTTCACCTATTGAATACAGAATCAAAGAGGATCTGCATCTGTAAGAATGCTTGGAATGACTATCATAGTACCAGAGAGTTGTTGGGGATGGGCAGAAGAGCAGAAGGAAGTGGGCACTATAAGTAATTTAAGCACATAAGGATATAGTAGGCATAGAACCCTACTGAACAATCCATGACCTAATAACAAAGCTATTGAAGTACTTAGGTAACCAGCTGTTTATTCATCCACGTAAATGTAACAAGTGATTCAGTAACTAGCTTGAACATTTAATTAAGCAAAGGTTTTAAATAACATGCATTTTGTTTTTCAGTTATACAGTGCGGAGCCTCTATATAGCAGCCCAGAAGAAAGTCTTGTTATGTGTAAGCCATTTCAGGCTTATTTTTCTTGACTTGTTCTGCTGCAGTAGTGCTGGCCTTTTTTTTTTCCCTTACATGTTAAACTGTCAGGAACTGTTTGAAAAAGTTAATAAATACTTGCTTTCAAATATTTTCTGGTTTTATTTTACAATAATTTCAAAATCAAGTATTTTAGGCACGTGAAACAAATGTAGTTCATTTTATTACGAATGTATATTAAGTTTCAGAAGACAGACCTCTCAGTACAGTTGAAGACTCCTGTAGTGCCCTTCCCCATTCTCTTCCCTGCAGAGGTGAACATTGTTGTCAACTTGGTGTTTATTATTCTTACATTCTTATTTTACTGCATATGAATGCATCCATAAAGCAAGATATACTACTGCTGTGTATATTTTTTTAATGAGTGTGCTACTGCACCTTTAATTTACTATTTGTGCTGTTTATCCATGTTGGTATGCAGAGCTCTATTTTATTCACTCTCACTCTTCTATCCATCTCCGCACATAATTCTGTTGATATTGAGGTGGTTACGTTTTTTCTCAATTACAAATATTCTTCTGTAGTACCCCTTGCGTACATGTTACGGGTTTTCTAGTATACATACTTAGTAGTGGAACTTACTAGGTCATTAGGTAACTGCTTTCCAAAAAGTGGATTTACTCAATTTACTACCATCGGTAGTCTGAGTTCCTTGGCAATGTGTGGTGTGGCCAGACTGTTATTAGCCTGTATTGATACTAGTATAAAAAAGTATCATTATTTCAATATGTATTCACTGGTTTAATAGTCACTTGTTCGCTTGTTCATATCCTTTGTCCATTTTTCTATTGAGTTGTTTGTAATTATCTTAATTGATTTGTAGGAATTCTTTATATATTCTGGATATTAATCCTTTGTCAGGTATATATATCTTCTAATCTGTGGCTCATCTTTTCTCCTTTTTTGTGGTATCTTTGGACACACTTTCCATTCATTTGTCACCTTTTTTAGTTTGCACTGTGTCTCATTTAAAAATCTTTCTCTAGGGCGCCTGGGTGGCTCAGTTGGTTGAGCGACTGCCTTCGGCTCAGGTCATGATCCTGGAGTCCCGGGATCGAGTCCCGCATCGGGCTCCCTGCTC